GGACCCAGCCGTCCCGGCTCTAAGTTGTGGGGCCAGGCTCCTCCCGACCTGCTTCTTCTCCCTCCGCTCCTCGGACCTAGCTCCGCGCCGCCGACCCCGGAGCTGCCGGTCCGCGTCTCCTCAGGGTGGGTAGGACACGCCTGCCCTCGTCGAGAAAACTTTTCCTGCCGACTCAGGGCGGCGGTGGCAGGAAGTCCGGGCGGCGACCTCTTCTCCGCCTGCCCCGAAAGCCCTGCAGGGTGTCGGCGCTAAGCTTGCGAGCAAGTTTGTGGCGGCCCCTTCGCGGTTGCCGGCGAGCCCTGCTTCGAGAGGGACGCCTGGCCCTGTGGAGGGCGGCGGGCCAGGGCGAAGGCCAAGGGCGCGTGGTGGCGCGGGAGAAGAGGTGCCGAGCGTGGCCCGGATCCGCGCCCGACAGTTGGTAGGGCGCGCAGCCCGGGAACAGGGAGCCTCCGGCGGCTGCTTCCTAGAGTCAGCAGTCCGCCACCTTCTCCGGGTGAGGACAGTGTCCTGGCCCCGAGTCTATCGAGGAAAATGAAGTTAAGCCGCCAGTTCACCGTCTTCGGCAGCGCGATCTTCTGTGTGGTGATCTTTTCGCTCTACCTGATGCTGGACCGGGGTCACCTAGACTACCCCAGGAGCCCGCGCCGCGAGGGTTCCTTTCCCCAGGTAAGCACCAGAGGAGCCGGGGCGCGGGGCTCCCGGGGTTAGGCGTGGGGGCCTGTAGTTACCCGCTGCTCCGCGCTGGGGCGGGGGCGGGGGGCGAACCGGAGGAGGGTCCGAGCCTCCTCCAGCCGGGGATCTGCGGCGCTGGGACGACGATGACCGCGACCCGAGAGCCTGCTCCTCCTGGGCGCGCCGAATTAACAAAGTGCCAGGCGGCGTGCGGTGGCGGAATCGCGCTCGGGGGAAGTGGCCATGTTCCTCACTCGCACCGGGGCCTGTTGGGGTAGCCTCGGGCACCTGCTCGCTGGGGAACGGGCGCGGCGTGAGGCGCCCCCTCGCCAGCACGGCGCCCGCGTATTACTGCGGGCAGCCCCTCGGCTCACACAGGGTTAAGCCGCACGCGCCAGCCCAGACCCCTTGCACGCACCGGGTCGCGGAAATGCAGCAAACAGACTCCATCTGAGCATTTTATTCTCTTCACTGTCTCTTAAGAGATGAAAGTTTATTTCCTGTTGCGGCTCTCTTAGATGTGGATCTGTAGGGTTGATTTTAGTGTCGTCATTCTTCAGCTATTACACTGGGTTTGTTGGAGCAGACGTGGGGAGCCTAGTGGGGAAGCGCGTGTTATACTCCGGCCGGAAGCTGTGGGGCGCTCAGTCCTTCACTCGGTGGTCAAATTGGCAAACCAGTTGGGAAAGCGACCCGACTAAAGTCTTTTATTAAAAGTTACTAAAAATAAGCAAGATGGACACCATCGGTTTTGTTTGGAAGGGTGTTGTGCTGCATGTGCAGGTTCATTTCAGGTTACTTGACAATGACTTGTACGTTTCGGAGATTTTAGTAAAACTAGGTATTGTGTAGTGTGCTCTCCAAAGAGTGAATCTGAAAAACTCAAACCCTGACAAGCCAATCTAACCAAACTACGTAGGAAAAGAGAAACCTAGGACGTGGACAAGTTGATGTTTTAATTTGTCTGTTTCGTGTCAGTTTAAATGACCAAAGAGTATCCTTGTTATTTCTTCGGATATGCTAGGGCAAGATGGCTTGGTTTTAATTTAAAGTACAAACTTTAGTTGAATTATTATGAAAGTGAAAAAAAGGCCACCTTATGGATGCTGTCATCGTTAAAATGGTCTGCAGTTGAGAGATATTAAAAATCTTGTTGCAGTCATACGTATCAAAATTTTAAAAGCTTCTGCTTCTCTGTAGTATGATAGAGAAAATATGAAGGATGCAGTACGGGCGTCTTAAAATTTTGAGCTTAAGAGTTTTTCCGGTGTTTGTTGATGAGGTTGAAGAAAACAGAAATAGGTAAACCCGCTGAAGCCAGAGCAAAGGAATTCTGAGTTTTGATATATTGTATAATTTGGGGGTTAAATTTACTATGCTGTGGTATTTTTCTCCCAGTAACCCCATTTTCAGATTTCCTCCGATATAGGAAAATCATAAAAGATGATACATTTTACTTAAAAGTGTTGTCTTGAAAAATGTCCTTTGGCTTTGGCTTGATGATCACTTGACAATGACATGCAAACATCTGGGCCGTGGTTCTCTGGCAACCTTGTAGTTTTGCTCTGTTTGGAATGAAATGAGTGATTCTTTCAGATATCCATCCCTACTCCTCAATGAGGGACTGAAGTTCTGCTTAAAGTGTAAAAGCATTTGATGGAAAATGACAGTGGCTGCTGGAAGAGGAAGGCTTGTGTGTGTACTGTTTTGAGTATGATGGGAGAAGGTTTGTAAAGTGGAGCTTTTCGTACTAAAGGTTGCCTTTCTCAGGTTTTCTGTACTGGATTTGCACTGCAGGAAGAAGTTACTTTTTGCTGGATTACTGTTTGGAGGGCCACTGAATCACCGAGCAGATAGATATTATAAGAGGTTACTTCAAAAAGTTTGTGGAAAATAGAATTAAAAGATAATATGAACAAGTAAATTTAAAAAAATTAAATAAACAAAAGAAAAACCCAGAAAAAAAGATAATATGAATCTTTCCATGAACTTTTTGAAGTACCCTCATAAGAGCTCTATAAGCTTAACTCTTATGTGTTTGACATTGGCCTATGTATCTTACATGAGAAACTTGATTCCTGCAACCATCATTTAGTAGGGGAAGAAACTGAGGCACGGAGAAATGAACTTGCCCGTGATCACTTGGCTAAAAGCTGAGATTTGAGGAATCCTTTGCCTACTTTTTAGGTCCCAGCCTGCTTATGGAAAGACCTGGTGTAGAATGTTGAGCATGTTGCTGTATGGTGTCTCAGCTTATGTCTTTTTTTTTTTTTTAAGGAGCTTTTATTATGAAACTATATGAATGTGGTCCCTTTTTTCAAACATTTAATGCTTGAAATTTATACCTTCCCAGAATGTCTTCTAGGTCACTTCAGCACTCAATATTATAACAAAAACCATTATGCAGTATAGCATCCAGTATTTGAGTTGATTCTTTTATTTTTTGCACTAGATCTAACTTCATGTTAACCTTAATTTGATGACAACATCAAACATAGTAAAAGTAGATTGCAATATATTATATTAGGAAGTTTGGGTACTGAATTCCTGAATTTTAATAGAGCCATGCTAGTCTGTCACTATATGTCAGTTTTGGTGTCTAGTGGAGTGATTTTTCTAGAAAGGTATTGAGTTCCTCTGAATTGTCCATTTTAGTTTCTTTCAGTTGATATGGAACCTTCAGTAAGGTATAATGTCCATCTGGTAAGCAAGATATTTTTTAAAACCATCTGAGATGGAGAGTAATCTGCTGTTTTGGGGCCTTTGTTCTTTTTCCTTCTCCCACAACTCTGTTTTCCACCACTTGGCCAGACTGGGGAGGAGGGGTCAGCCCACTTAGGGTGCTCCAGTTTCTTCCACCCTGCAGCAGCTGCCTGCCTCTGAGATATTCTTTGGAGAGCTTTCTCCCTGTGCTTCCAGAAGGAATTCCTTTAAGGGCTGGAGGCAACAGGTGGTCTAGTCTGTTTTAGTTTGTGTATATATTTCAGGGTTAATAAATCTCAGCTACAAAAATTAATAAAAATTTCACGGTGAATGAGAGGCTGTCCAGGTCCTAATGTCCTGAAGATGCTTTATGGTAACTTGCAAGAAATTGAGCAGATGGAAAGGATAAACATTGTTAAGGTCTCCCTGAAATTCTTCATCACTTCTTACAAGCAGATTTCACAAGTTGCTTACTGTCTTCCGTGTGTATAATAGGATGTCTTATGTTTGGATCTGGAGAATTAAAGAGTCAGGTTTTGCATAACAAATGATCAGTCTTTAAATAACTAGCATAGCATATGACCATAGGGATTAGTATTAAATCTTGAAAGTCTCTACAGAAGTGAAACTCTGATGGAAAATGTGAAAGTGGAGTTCAGACTTTATCTTTGTACCAAGATAATATTTATCAAGTGAGAAAGTTAGAATGTCTTTAAATAAGTATTTAATTGAAAGCCATTGGAAGGTAGGGACTTTTACACCTTTTTAAAAAACTTTTACTGTGAAACTGTAATACACATACAGAGATGTGTGTAAATGCTTTACATCACTAGTACTTTTATTTAAGAGGTCCAGCATAGTAAATGTTAATAAAAGTTAACCTATGGCAATAAGTGTAACTATGACCTTGTTCCCCCAGTTATTTTTTCTCTTGCTTTTATAAATCTATAAATCTTAAGAATGACATCTAAGAAAAATATGATTTCCTTACCCTTCCCTCTCGTGCACTCTATTTATAAACAATAGAATTTGTTGCTGGGTTTTGTTTAGGTTTGGGTAAGAGAGTGTCTCATTTCTTGGGTTATAATGCTTGCGATCTATGACTTGGGGAAGTGATGGAACTTTGAGAGTGGCAGCAACTAGCATTTGGGAATGCAAGAGTGTTAAATCTTACTGAGTCTGGTTTCCTTCATCCCTTCTTGAGTCCAACAGTGCCATGGAACTCTTCCTGCCCGGTGTGTTTCACTTAGACCCAAGCTTACTTCCCATAAACCAGCTGGGTCAGATACTCATGACTACATGTGGTCTGAAGGTTGTAGTCTGTTATTTTTTAAATTGAATTGAATGCGTGTTCCCAGATCAACAGTTATCAGGGCCTAAACAAATACTTTTGTCAGAGAGATGTCACAATTGTATTTATTGGAAGGGAATTTGGCTCGTTACCCACTAATTAGCATTACTGGATATCTGGGCTGTGGGCAAAATATTAACTGAAATGACCACTTTTATTTGTTGTTTTTGAGTCAGCTATTGCTTTTTTGTGATAGCTGTTAAAACTTTGACCTTTGTTGAAAGTCTGATGTGTTGAGACTTTCCTAGGAATAGTTCAGTAACTGTTGCTAATCACCCGCTTTATTCTTAGCTTTTTGCATTTTAAGTTTTCTCTTGTTCCCCCCTCTTTCAGCAAATGGGAGGATATTCAGTAGCTCTGATCTATAGTTGCTGGATTTTATAGACCTCAGTGCATTTTTGGCCCTTCCTGTCTTAAGTTCCTGATAGCAGTGGCTTTTATAAAAGTTCATGTAGAACCAAGCAGAGGAGGAGGAACTCTAGTGAATTTTGCTTCTTTTCATAGTTTTTATTAGCACATTAATCAGGAGAGGAAATAGAACATTTTAGCTAAAGTGGGTTTCTGTTTCACTTATCAAGCCAAGTTGCTAATTTTAAAGTTGAAACCATGTTTGTGTTCAAACTAGTCTGAGGATTGATGGTACTGAAAACAGAGCTCACCCCTAGTGCTGTAGTGAGTATTGCTAGATTGGCCTTGTGATCCGTTGAAACCATGTTTGTGTTCAAACTAGTCTGAGGATTGATGGTACTGAAAACAGAGCTCACACCTAGTGCTGTAGTGAGTATTGCTAGATTGGCCTTGTGATCGGGAGGAGGTAAATCATTTGATGTGAATGAACTCTGTCTCTTGAGGTCATATAACAGCTTTTCTGAGAGATAGAATGTATTTAAGATAATTTTATTTGTACTTTTCTGCAAATGTATAATAGGTATCTATTAAT